AGAGTGTGTCTATTTCACATTCAACACACGCTTATATATGATACAGAAACAAAGGGAGAGAGACGACACAGATAGAACAATAGAGAGAGAAAGAGGAAAGAGAAAGAGCAGCGAGCCGTGTCATCAATATCGGCACACTAATCTATTGACGTGCAGAATAGGTGTCGACCGACTTGTGCTAGTCGATCATCGGCAAATACCATGCGAGCGTTCAGTTGAAACGTATGCAAGATCTCAGTTGGAAAATCATGACAATGTTAGCGTAAATGTTTTATATGACACTTAGACATTATACGAAATGGCGCATAATTAATTCTTCTGTATTTTGACGAATTTTATTATAAAAAAAAAGTTATTGATCAATTGATCGGTAAGACTGATCTCTTGAATATATTTATATATATTTCTTATTTTCTAAAGAAAAAAGATAAAATTGATCGTATGCTCCTTTTTTCTTCTATTGGTGCTGGTATTAATCTAAAAACATGCTGTTGTTTTTGTTGGTCGCGATTTTGATTCGAATGCTCAAGAGTAGAACGTTGTTCACATTTCTCACAAAATGTTAACGAAGAACAATGAATACAATCGAATCGAATTCCTTGAACTTCATTATGACAAGTATCACACCTGAATAAAAATATTATAACGATCAATATATTATATTCATTGCATTATACTTACTGGACGTCCTTGTGTACAACAAGTTTTTGTTCCCCTGGAGCTTTTAACTTAGTTTTAACTTGTTGTGGACCTCGGTTGGCAATGGGTACATATGGTGCAGCCTTAGACCAATCGAAGCGTCGGCCACATCCAGATTGTGCATCACCACCATGATAGTTTTGACCACATATCATGGAGTTACATCCGCCAAGATGCTGCACTACTCGTCGACAATGCGGACAAAGACGACAATTTTGAGCTTTGAACGTCTCATCAGCCAGTAAGTCATTGTAACGTTGACGCAACTCTTCGTTTCGTCGTTCATTAGTAACTTTTTGTCGTTCATAATCTTCTAGTTGGGCTCTAAAATTAGCATCTTGTTGTGCTCGAGCTTGCCAATAGTTACCACGCTCTTTGAACAAAAACAACTGATACAAAGAAATTTACATTATTTGAAAATTTTACCTGTATTACACCAAAAGAACCAACGTTGAGTAATTCCTGGAACTTCTTGACATGTTGTTCGAAAATGGTATTGTTGGTTACAAAGTGAGCAAAATTCATAACCACACAGAGGACATTGAACCTGAAAGCGGTCAGTAGGATTCTTTGCCTCAGCTATCCAGTGGCATTGTTGGTTTGGACATTTAATTACCCCTTGAGTAGCACCAGTATAAATACTGAATGTTTTTTGTATTTGATACTCTAAAAATTGTTTCTGTCGATCAGCTGATACTCTCAGTTGTCTGATTTCTCCGTCTTGTAATTGATAATTGCACAATGGGCATGTGAGTATTTCATTATTGGTCATCTTCGTTGTACATGAAGCTTCAAAGCATCGATAGCAGAGTTTGTGACTTTCCGTGCAACCAAAAACAAAAATATCCTCGTATACACATGTTTCTGCACATACGTCGCAGTCACGAGTAGCAATCTCAAATGGGAAGATGCCATCTAATAGACCAACACATAACCAGTGATAAAATAAAAAGATATTTTAAAACTTACCAAGTACAGCTAGTGCATCAATGATTGAATGTGGATCAAGTGGTAAACGACTCTTCCGTCTATGTTCGATAAAAACACGAATCTCTTGGGATGTTATGGGATATTTAGTTCGTGGTACAATGAAATCTATTAATGCTTGTTGTTGTTGATAATGAGAAAGATTGCGACATTGTTGTAAATGGTCATCCATTCGATACATATTGTATAGACAATGACAATATTCACAAGCAATTAAATTTACTGAGTTACACAAAGCTGCATGATTTTCCAAGTCGCTCATAGAATTAAAATCAACATAGAAGAGACATAAAGGACATTGAGGACGTTGTGTACTTTTGACACAAGTCAGTAAATGTTTGATAGTATCTGTTTCAAGTGGTAAACATGCAACATCATATCGAGACAGTTGATAATTACAGAGAGTTGAATGACAAAGAGGAGGAGTATTAGATTTAATGTATTCATTCATTGAATGTTGAAAACATTTTAGACAATACATATGACGTGATGGACATGAAATGGTATGACTAGAACTTTTCGAAGAATCTATTGGCAATGAACTACAAAGATAAATGCTAGAAAACTTGTGATAAAGAATTCACTTACCATGTAAAACACAAGTTTTGAGTTTGTCTAGTTGTTAATTTTGATTTCGAACTTGAAGATAATTCAGAAGCACATACATTAACATGAGTAATAAAATCAACTTCGGCAATTTCTTTAGAGCAGATATAACATTCCTGGATGTTGTTTGGTCTGGCTGATGATATATCAATACATGCATTTATGTGATCAAAGTAGTCGACTTCATCGATCATCTTGGAACATATCATGCATACTTTTGTACGTTTCTGACTTTGAACATTGGTTGTTGGGTCTTGCCCAGCCTAAATATTTATTATAAACTGTCGTCACAATTCAGAAACGATTGAAAAATTAGTTCATATCATTAGTTTAGAAGCTATTTGGAACATAAATTTTAGTTTAGGTGATAATTTTCTGACTGATTGTTTTAATTTTTCTTATACATCTATCTGATGAAGTAATGTCTCATATGTTATGGGCTAGTTTAAGTCCATGGTGTGTAGAACCTAATAAGTGTAAGATCTAGTGTCAAGAGTTTGTTCACATGCTCAAATTTTTAAGAGGTAAGGTTCATGATATATCCTTAACAATCTACATAAGACCTTTTCATAAGATTTCAATTTTGAAATCATCGATATTTCTTGGTTAAATGCATTACAGACTAGTATACATGTTAAACCTGGTTAAATATTCCATAATATCTTTCAATAATGTATCATCGATTTCCTAGATGTAAAATATTGGAAAGCAAGCATTTGACAATCATTATACAATAATTTTTTTTCTTGACATACAAGTTCATCTTAGTTCTTTATAGTCAATGTAAGGCATCATATTTCGAGATCTTTTCTCATCATGTACAATTAAACATATATACGTTATACACCGAATGCTACAAAAAGCGGAAGTTGAATTTTTTATATGACCTTACCGGTCCAACTGGTGAGTTCGAATAATCCTCATATATATCGTTTCTGGTATAATATTCATTCATACATGTTTGAAAATGTTGCCTCAAATTTTGAACTCGTTTTCCACATAAAGCACATATTTCCAGTGCTGTTTGATCTTCATCATTGTCGTCTTGTAGTCCACATATAGCAATATGAGCAAGATATTGATCTTCATCGATAGACAGGTTACAAACTTCACACATTTGCCTTTGATTCCTTAAACAAACTAGAGGTTAATAAATGAAATATCTTTATACTATAAATAAAAACAATTTCTAGTTTTTTTTCTAAGAATCTTTAATCATATTTTAACACCTTTCAATAGAATAATACTCAGAAGAAAATATACATCTTATTTCCAATAATAATGATATTACCGTGTTATTCTTGTCGTCATCTTCTCATTCCGCAGCAAATGAAACAGCTATATCGAAGTATTGTTGAAGTTGAAAAGGGAAGAAAACTCACAGCAAGTCTACACGACGCAATAGTATCTGATTGTTCTGTAAAGCACTTTTTAAAAGGAAAAAAAACACCACATGTTTGCGTTTAAGCATAATTTCTTCCTACTAAGAGAAAGAAACAGAAGAAAAAGAGATGTTATTTTGGTGGCTTGTGCTTCGTGTTTTCGAAAATGACTCATAAATTCTTCATCGTAAAAACAGAACAATTTCATATATATCTGATTCCCAAATAAGGACGCATCTAGGGTAAAATGGAATTTCGACAAAAAGAATTTCGCCATCTGAATTTCGACAATGTCCAAATTGTAGTAGAATTTCGACATGTTTCGAAATTCTACTACAATTTGGACAACGTTGTCGAATTTCTACAATTGCCGAAATTCTTATGAAATTACGACAGAATATTTTTTTACTGGGCATTTTATTGTCCATATTCCATCAGAACTTGGATAATATTTATTTTAAAAAATATATATAGAAGTATATTTAATTAGTAAAACTTTGATTGATAGGGTGTGGGTGTGGATGTGGGGTGTGGTTGTGTGTGATTGCGAGGTCTGGGGTGTACATGTGGATGTGGGTATGTGGGTGTGGGCTCGGGTGTAGGTGTAAAGAATAATAACACCCACACCCACACCAACACCCACACCACACCCACACCCACACCACACCCACACCCACACCACACCCACACCCACACCCACACCACACCCACACCCACCCACACTCGCACCCAGAACAATATATAGTCTTCTGAGACATTCTTCGCTCAAAAAAGAGTATCAATTATTAAAGATTCTGATCGAATCATGTTTTGACTAGTGTCAGCGTGCTCAAAATGCATCGTTACATGGGTTTTTCACGAACTGTCAGTTTTCTAAACGATTTTCACTTAAAACACTATGGAAATCTACTCAGGATGTTGATTATATTGTGATGAAACAATTTTCAGGATTTACACATTTCTTCAGAAAAACCAAGAAAATCTGTAAAGAATTTGGATAGCATCTGATAAGCATCTGAAGCTGAATCTCTCAGTGCTCTTGTGGAAGTACAGAAATTTCGGTTTCTGTAAGATTTCAGAACTTCTCACATGAAAAGTAGCTCTAGTAAAATCATTCGAATCTCTTTCTTAGCATCATTTGTTGAAATTTATATAAATTTTATGAGGGTATTCGCTTGATAAAAAAACGATTTTTTGCTATTTTTCATAAGAAAATTTTAAAAATTTTATTAAAATAAGAGTGGATGAACAATGTTAATTAGAACTGAAGTTTGAAAAAAAACAGACTGTCGATCTTTTTTACGAACGGTGACTTCTCACCACAATATAGAATGACTACAAGATAGCCTAATCTGTGAAAATCGACGAATATAAACAATGATTGACAAAGAACAGTCTAAATAAGCACAGCCACTGATTCAATGACTCTTCTCTAGTAAGCAAAAAGTACACTTTCCGTAACGACCTCTACAAAAATGAATCAGAATAAAATCAGCGGTAGGACGTCTGCATGGAACGCATGTACGCATGCCAATTCATGGCTTCCGATGAAGTTGCTCGTTTTGCATTATTCACATCAGCGATATCAGCGTACCATTTTACGATGGGGAGATTCGAAGGTCTTTGAGACTATTCATAGTATTATTAGATATAATGCCGCTTCTTTTTACAGATGAGGAGACTAAACAGTCTTTGGAAGTCTTTAGAATTTTTCATTCTAGTAATAGCTATAGATTCCCTGAAAAACTACAATCTGTACCTATTTATATTATGAATAATTCCCAATACTCCCAATTTCGTTTAGAAATAGAGTGTCCTTTTTGTCAAAATTCAGCTTGAAGCTAAAAACTCAAAAAAATATGTAAATCACTTTGTTCACTATAAATTCGTTATTTTAATAGGTTTTCATTTAATAGATGTGTTTAGACTGCGGCATGTATCCTGTTAAAAACTGCTCAGTTATACTCATGCATAAGGAAAATTATAAGCATACCGTTGTGAATGAGTAAGAGAAAAATTGGATGCTCAGATTAGATCAAAGACAAAAATATTTTGCAGAATATGGCATTTTCACAAGTTTTCGAGATAATGTTTTTCGTATAGAACTGGAAAAAAAATGTGTACAACGTTTTAGCCAGATTATCTAATCAGTATGTGTACTGGCAATCTGGAGACCAATACTCTATGTATTCACTTCTTCCTATTCCGTTTAGAAAAGTTTGCAATAGTTCTGACAAAATATGAAACAATATTCTCAAATAGACCTAGCCAAGCCTTGCAAAGATGCTGTTAAGAAAATGATAAGATCTCTGAGAAGATCTAAATACATGCGGCAGAATGTAAACCGAACTTTTCGATTTAGTATCGCTGAAGTGCTAAAGTATTGCTGATCCAAAAATAGTGTACAGTTGGTCACGATCATAATAGAATATTGAAACTGCGTGGCTATGCGCTTTTCCCAGGAAATAGTCATTTTCTCCGAAAAAGACGCGTTCATGAAGGGTCCGATTTGAATTCGTTAAGGATATAGCACGAAAATATGATGGGGCTTCCATACAGGATTGCATATGAGCGAAATACTCTGAGAACAATGAGAAGCTTAGAAATATTGAAATAAACATCTTGTATATGAACGAGATTGTTCGTGTTTATTCTTTTCATAACGTTTGGATGTTGTTTCCCAGAGTGAGTGGACTATTTTCAAATGATACAATAGTAAAATGGTTGAATACTTGTATTATCTCGTTGTGACAGAACAAGATCTACAAAATTCTTAAAAGTTAAGCTAGTTGAAAGATAATACTCGCTCTGAAGATTCTTAGTCTTGTTTGTTTTGTTACAGATATTCTCAAATAAAGAGATGAGTCAGAATAAATCAGTCATGGTTGTTTCCTCGATATGTGTGGTGCCTACGGCGGCACACTCGGGCATTAAACGCATACGAAAAGCTTGTTAGCGCAGCTCCAAAGGAGCTAAAATGTGGAACTCACAGAAATCTTTGAAACTTGTTTTCCTGATGCGTAACTTTTAAATTTCGAAATAGCTCTTTTCCGAGTATTCATGAAAGCACTGATATATTATATAGAATCTAAAGCCTTCTATGAGCGATTGCTGAGGTCTGTAATGGGGGTATGTCTGTAATGAGGGGTTGCCTATAATGGGGGGTATGTCTGTAATGTTCTCTTTTCCGTTACTCTGTGTCTGTAATGGGGAGGGAGAGGGGGAGCCGCAAAACCTCGAAATGAAAACTTATACTCACTATTTTCTTCGAAAATATAAGTGAGTTCCACAAAACGTTCCTTCTAGTCTAATAAACTTAAGATATACACAAAGATAGCATAGTTCTACGCTTTGTATTTCAATCAGGACCTCTTTTTCATAAGTGTAATGACTTACATGCCTTCTAACGATGGTACTCGTTAGCATCTAAATTTAGTGCTTACACATATGGCTATCAGTTTTTATTGTATCGTAATAGATTATTCTCAATACTAAATTTATCCTTGAAGTCTCTATAAAGTTCTACACAAAAGATCAATACAGGTATAAAAGGAAACAATTATCATGATAATAGCACGAGAATATATCAACAACGATTTTGAAAAGTGAAAAGAACTAGTACTTCGCTTTCATATTTTATTTTAGTATTGCCCATTTAAATTATCCGAAGTGTCATTGTTTCAGATTGGGTCTAGCTTTGAATAGTATCGTTTCGTGGCAGTTACACTACCCAAACCTTGCTCCAGTAAAAAAGATTAGAATAAGCTGCCTGCATTTTTCACAAGCTTGAAAATACGATGAAAAACAAGAATATTTTCGTAAATTCGTGAATACTAACATTTATTGAGACTCACAAAGTACAACTTTCACAGCTGAACAAAAATGTTGGCTTAATTTGTCGATATGATTTGACTGTATGAAAACTCGAAGAGATATTGAGTAAAAACCTAGAGAATTATTGATGCCTGGGCAGCTTTATTTCCTAGCACTTCTGAACATGCTACGGATAGACAAGAAAATTAAACTGCTTTCCACTTATGACTGTTGGATGAGCTTGTAGACTACACAACAGAATTTCAGAGCTAGAGGCATCTCAAAACATTCTTCTCTTGTCAATCCTGTGTGTCTATTTCCATTTTCTGAAGAACCTTTTGAGATCTGTATCTCCGCCGTACAATTTGAACATTGCTGTATTAGGAGGAAGAGGTTTTTCTGAAATCTACTGGCTAGGTACCTGTAGATATCGCAAAAAGAACTATCATTCAAGTAAAACTATTTACAATGTAGGTAATATCCTGAACATATCCTTCTTCAAAACCTGATTAAAATGAATCCTTTCATTCTAATTCCCTGTAGCACTTTTTTCTGTGCAGCATCATACATAATTTCTAGCCAGACCAAACCTCATCGAATGGTAAAAGAATAGAATTCTATACAGTATTTTTCTACATTGGACCTGACAAAGGGTAACGACTATTCTCACTAAGAGCGCTAGCTGGCAAGAGGGGGATCACAATATTTAATGACTGCTGTTCATTTCATACAGAACTTCCCTAACATTTTTATTGATAGGAAACAAGCTACTATGATTTAAAAACCATCCGACTTAAGATTACGAGATAATATATCCGAATGATCTTCTCTGTTTACACTCATATTGTGCGCATACGTAGGAAATCATTATAATAGAATAATCACTAGAAGATTCATGCTCTTCCATTTAGAAAGAATCATC